AGAAGAAGAAGAAGAAGAAGAAGAAAGAGAGGGCTGCTCGCTGAATTAACAATTTCTTCCATTTATGTGGGTCAAGGAAAACGTAGCCCTCAAATGTTCTCCCTTAAAGAAAACATAATGGCCCATCAAGATCAAGAGGGTAATTTCTTCTCTCGGGATTACATAATTTGAAGTACAAGTGCAAGGGTAAACCCCTGGGGGGATAAATCAAATTTCCCAGCACATCAAAACCATGCTACGGCGCTAATAAGAGCAAATTTCGGCTGTATGGCATGCAAGGGTGATTTATTTTTAATCAAGCAGGAAGAGCGCGGAGGGCTACACTTCTCGTGGCTGCGAAAAAAACCCCTGCGTTTTTATTAGCGGCCATGTTCAGCAGCTGTACTCTGTATTTGGACCGGGTTTTATTTAGACTGGGGTGTTTTAATTTCACCTTGGGCTACGCTTCGACCAAGTCTCTCGGACTCTGAGCTGCAGGCAAAGCAGCTGAGCGGGTTCTGTTGTGGCCAAGACACTGTGGTGATGGGTGGTCTCGTGGGCCAACCTACCACCGCTTGTCTTCTGACGGCGCTGGGACAAAAGGCAGTCAGGAAGGAAAGGAGGATGGGATGGCCACGTCTGCAGGGGAAAGAAGATAGGTTTGAGTTGTGCCTTTAAAATGTACACCTGTAATTAAATGCAAAATAGAACAGAATGCAGAACAGAATAGAAGAATAGAAAATGGAACAGAATAGAATGAAACTTTATTGTCAAAACTTTTTATTTATCTGGCTTCCCTGTTGACTTTGCTTGTCAGAAGGTTGGAAAAGGGGACGACGTGACCCCGGGGCACAGCAGCTGTCATAAATATGAGTCAGTTGCCAAGCATCTAAATTTTGATCATGTGAGCATGGAGATTCTGCAGCGGTCCTAAGTGTGCAAAACAGTCATCATTCCCTTTCTTCAGTGCCACAGAACAGATGTTTTAAACAAACCTCCTCGACGGAAACCAGAACATTTGGGGTGTCCTTATGCTTTCTAAATGTATCTATCTATCTATCTATCTATCTATCTATCTATCTATCTATCTAT